CAAAACAAAAATCAGCTCGCTCTGCTGGTCACGTTATTGTCAAGTGGCATGTTGGGGTCAACTTGTTGTGTTATCGAGCAAATCAACAAAATAATTGAGGTTGAAAAAAAAAACTGAGGTAGGTATTTACGTCACACAAAATTTTTAAGAGTCAAACATTTATTTATTTATTATAAAAATACACCTTTCCAACCAATCACGCAGAATTTTAACATAAGAGTTTTTTGAAATAATTAAAGATAAAATTATTATAAGAAAATTAACGTTAAGGGCATAAGGAATTGATGTTAATTTTTATCGCAATAAGTTCTTTATACTAACTCAAAGATTTCGTTTTTCACAAAAGATATTCGCATCTTCAAAGAATTTCTACATAAATATTTTATAAATATAGATAATTGTTTAAGAGGGCAGAGTACGCTGTGGGCTAGGGAACATTTTTCAGTGTAACAAAGCGAATATTGGAGAGGTTCCACAAAGGCCAAGCGTCGGGCGCGGTCTTCTAGTGATGGCCTAGAAGAATATTTAAAGAGCTATCGATATTACATATTAAAAATATTAAAAATAACAATACATTCAATTTTGTCCATCCTGATTTTTATTAGGTTAGGTTAGGTTAGATATTAATGTTTAAATTGAAAATTTGAATGAAAAAAAAAGAATAAAAAACCAGGGTATCCCTTGAAATTATGTTTTAAATTTGCTGCTAAATTTACCCGGCTCAAACCAGGATAGAAAGACAAACGAGATTACCTGGTATTAAATAGTTGTTGAAGTCCAAACCAGCTCACGATCCATTTGTTGCTAAATCAATCCCGTATCTGCGGGATAGCTGTCGGAGCACCGTGGTATGTGGGAAATGTTAATCTTTACGACGATCTCCGATCAGAATCGATACGTAAGTATTTTAAGACAGCGTCAGAACGTTTCTTCGAAAAAACGGCGCGACACGATAACCCTATTATCGGGGCGCTTCTAACTATCTTTTTAACCCAGGCGACGGAGCAACCCAAAGCCGACGTCTACTTAAACATGTCCGTCCTATCAGATTCTGATGATCCACTTTCGGTGCTTTTAAGCACTCTAAGCACGCACCACCGTTCCCTTCGAAAGGAGAAGAAAAAGTAGAAGCTGCGAAGAGCATTATTTTCCGGGGAGATGTGGACTGTTTCAACTGTCTATTTGAAATGTCCAAAACTGATCTATAAGCGGATTATTTATTTGCAGGCGATTAAGTTGAATATTATTACCTACTAGCTGACCAGGTATACTTCGTAGTGCCTCAATCGATAAATCAAAAGACCTAAACTTTTGTATAAAATAAACTTAAAACCAACAAAAGGAATCCGTCCGACGGGGGACACATCAAAGGAAAACCAAAATTGTTATTTTTATTTAATTCCAAGCGTTTTCATATTTACCTACCTTTTAAACCTTCTCTGGACTTCCACAAATAATTCAAGACCAAAATTAGCCAAATCGGTCCAGCCGGTCTCGAGTTTTAGCGAGACTAACGAACAGCAATTTATTTTTATATATATAGATAGATAGATAGATAGATAGATAGATAGATTGTAATTTCAAGTAAAGTTTATAGTACTATGCTGGTACGCCAGACGGCGTCGGCGTCGGTTCCATGAGCTAGAGTATTTTATTTTTCAACGGTAGTCGCATAGTGGTCGTTTATCATTACTGTATGCAATTAAAATAAGCAGGAAACAAAAAGTAATTTGTAAAACTTTAACATATTATCATAATCATCCTCGAATCTATCGATGTTTGAAAGAAGCGGCCGCTCGTCCCTATTCTGAGTCAGCTCCACTCGAGTGCCCCATACTTACACATACATAGGTGTAATTGTTTGCAAGTACATTTTTCTTTGACGTTACTCTCTATTAAACGCTTAAGTTAAATAGGACGCAATGGGCCCACAAAGGTGAAAGATGAAAGGCCGCGTTAATTGTCCCTCAAATTATGGTATCGTCTAACCTGGATCAAAAGACCCAGAAATGTCCAGCGAAGTTTGGGCGTAAATAATGAAGAGTATTCGTTGGCTAAGCGGTGAAATACCTCATGCAATAAGACCACAAGTAGGTAAACAGTATTACGCCATTACATTTCATAAGGACGTCGAGTATCTTTGTTGCATCATATAAATAAATAATAGTTTAAAAAAAACTGACAAAAGACGCTTTTATAGAAAATACAACTAAAAATACAAAATAAATTTGAATTAAAAATAGTGTAAGTGTGCTTCGCAGAATCAACCACCGGATCGGAATCGCGACCCACTGAGAGAAGATCCGGCGAGAAACTCAGTGTCTATGGGTATCCGAAATACCTATAACTTGTATTAAATCACTGTTATTCCACTCATTGTCGCGTTATCGAAGCGTATGGTTGATTGCCGACAGAATTAAATAGAATAATAATAGGTACGTAAGGTCTCAACCTTGGTACCGATGCTCAAGGAATTAGAAATAGCTTGAGTTACTTTGAATGATGAGTATTAGTTGCAGTAATAGGAAATGTTAGTCGATGAGGAAGAGGAATTCCACGAGGAAGTGATAATATCGTGTGTTAAAAAATCAAAGCCGTAAAGTTTGTGATTTGCGTAATTACTGGTAATAGGAGCATCTTGTGAGACCACACGGCTACGTGCCATCAACTCACCTATTTCTGCCGTGAAGCAGTAATGCGTTTCGATTTGAAGGGCAGCCGTTGTACTATAAAAACGGAGACTTAGAACTCATGTCTCAAGGTGCGTGGTGGCATATACGTTGCGGATGTCTATGGGCTTCAGTACCCCTCAACACCAGGTCGACTATGAGCCCGTCAACGTATCTAAACAATACAAAACATAGATAATTTAGTACGTTTGACTTGCACAGTTAAAATAAACGATATTGTAATGTCGAGATTTAAAATTTGGCCTCCTTATTGGGTTAATGGATAAACGGAGAACTCACGGCCCGCCTGACATACATTTTTCTTTATAAGAAAGCCACAAAAACATGTTACTCTATTCAAGTACACAGCCATATGGCCGAGTTTCACACAGTTAAAATCTCATAATCCCAAGAAGAAAGACGTCGGATGCTTAAACTAGTCTAAATATTTACATTGCCGTCATCTGTTTGTCGTGATTCTGTCAGATTACTGCCGTGACGGACGTATATTAGATTAATTAAAAATTTAATTATACGATGATGAGCTGATTGTGAAAACAACAAAAAAAGATAATAATATTCTTCGGATGAATCTCGCGTTTGTTTTACAGGTTTTTGTATTGTTTCAACAGATTTATGTATCTATTTTTTATTTATTTAAAAGTTTATGAGCGAGTTTATATACCTAGGCTGCACTAAAAGTATCGGGAATGGAATATTTCCACTGTTCCTGTCATATTAAAATATTTAAAATTGAAAACTCCTTGGTTTTAAAAATCGAATACCATTTATTTATTTAAAAAAAGACTCTCGATCTTGTCACGAGGTTTTGTCAAACTTGTTTAGTCGTTGAGAAAATGGAATTGACTCGAGAAAATTCAAGAGCGATGATTTATTATGACTTTCGAAGGGGTTTAACACAAAAACAGTGTGTTGACCGGATGATTTCTGCATTTGATGATGAAGCCCGATCCAAAACCACAATTTATCGCTGGTTTGCTGAGTTTCAACGTGGACGTGTCAAGCTCAGTGATGATCCCCGTCAAGGTCGTCCAAAAACTGCAGTCACCCAAGAAAACGTTGATGCTGTGCGTAAGCTGATTGAGGAAGATCGACATGTGACATACCGCGAAATTCAGGCAACTTTAGACATTGGCATGAGTCAAATACANACGCGCGATCAGTACGAGGCTTTGTGGCGGACTGCCGGCGCAGCAGCCCGGCGTCACCTGCGATAACGCATTTCGTGTGACATGCGCAATCAGGCGCATAACGCATTTCGTGTGACATGCTAGTACGATTTTGGTCCCCATAATTTTCATACCCCGGGCCTATATATGTAAATCGATTCTAAAGGAGTAAACTCCAAAAATATTGTTTCATTGTTCATATGCATTTACTTGAAAATTAGTCTTTTTTCCCTACCTATTTCGCTGGTAGACTATTCCAGCTCTGCTGTAACTAGTGGGTGAGATCACGGGGCTCAATCTGAGATAATTAACTCACACTAGCCTTAGCAAGAGCAGTACTTCGCAGAATCTACCACCGGATCGGAATCGCGACCCACTGAGAAAATCCAGCGAGAAAATTAGTGATTTAAAAACAGTCTCACTCCACTCTATCGCATCACCAATGGTCGTATCTGCAGATTCCTTCGTGTGATTAAATGAGCCGTCGGCCATCGCGCGATATTGCGAGCCATCTTACGACGCGGACCGATGCGAATTGCCATCTTAACACGTTCGTATATTATGTACGTTAACTTGTCTGTTTGTATTTATTTTGTGCAGTGTACTCTATCCGCTATGACGTCATAAGATAGTTACTGACAAAATGTATTCAAGAATATCTATTTGCTTAGTTTTCTTCTTTTTAGGATACATATTTATTAGGTTTTTTTTTTTTGCAATAGTACACAGATACTTATATATATTTTATTTTTTTATTGCTTAGCTGGTTGGACGAGCTCACAGCCCACCTGGTGTTAAGTGGATACTGGAGCCCATAGACATCCACAACGTAAATGCGCCACCCACCTTGAGATATAAGTTCTAAGATCTCATGTATAGTTACAACGGCTGCCCCACCCTTCAAACCGAAACGCATTACTGCTTCACGGTGGAAATAGGCGGTGTGGTGGTACCCACCCGCGCGGACTCACAAGAGGTCCTACCACCAGTGAAATAATATGCTATCTAGATATGCTATCCAGATATATAAAAATAAGTATGAACAAACAATTTATCTTTTTATTATATTGATTCTGCCTGTGTATATATTTATTTAAATTGTTTTACAATCGAATTTTTTTTCCGTTTCCGGTGTTGGTCTCGTAAACATCATAGTATGGTTGCTCCGAAAATAACCACAAAATTAAATATAAAGAACCTAATTTTTCACAATCACATCGTTTCTAAGTGTTAAACTAAGTGACACAGAGTGTTGGAAGTCATCTTCGCGGTCTAAATACTGGAATTCACATCATTTTGAGAAGAAAACCGAAGTAATTTTGAGGTTGGAATTTGATCTCAAGAAATTCATTCGATTACAATGTTGGCACTATTGATCTGTCAAACAAAGTGACGTGACAACTGACAATGACGGCTACTAGTAAAGTTTAGTGTTGCCATTGTGAATATCCTAATCCCTACCAATTACTACTAAATTACGTTCTATCATACGCAGAAAAATGGATGAACAATTTCAACTTCTTTTTGAAAAAGTTAAAATCGAAATGCAGAACCAAGCCGTTTCTATATCCAATACAATAATGGATAGAATAGACGAAAAACTAAAACTCCTCTTAGAGGAAAACAAAAAGTTAATATTTAAAGTTGAAAACTTGGAAAAGAAGATAGAGTTTTTAGAAAGAGACAAGAAAGGCAACAACATTATAATATATGGTTTGAAAGAAGGGGAAAAATCTACAAGAGAACTTATAGAGAATGCGAAAAATAAATTCCAAAAGGAATTAAATTTAGTCTTAGAGGATTACGATATAAATAAAATCTATCGCATTGGAAAACCAAACAAAGGCGACAAACCGAGACCTGTACTTTTCTCCTTCACTTGTGGATGGAAAAAGAACGAAGTTTTGAAAAATAGAAAAAAATCTAAGGAACTATTTGTCGCGGAGGACTTCTCTAAAGAAATTCTAGAAAAGAGGAAGGCATTATTACCACAACTGATAGAAGAACGAAACAAAGGGAATATCGCCTACTTAAAATTCGATAAACTCATAGTCAAGGAAGGTACAAAAGCCAAGGAAAATAGAAAAAGGGAACTTTCAGTTTCTCCGCTAACTAATGTACAGCCAAAGAAACAACAAACTGCCTCCTTTTCGAGGAACAACCGAGCGAATGCATTTGACTTGATGAGGAATCGGTCCAACTCCCTTACAACCTACCTAACAGATAAAAAATAGCAATCAGTTATCGGCGAACGGAAACTAAAACAAACACTGAACCAAAAAAACAAATTAACAAATATAAAACACTCTCCCCCAAGCCGACTGGTCCTCGTGGGGGAAAATGACCAAGACCCTCTAAAGATGGATAAAAATACCTCAAACCACTCAGATATGAATATCATAGATACGGAAAAGAGAAGAGAAATAAAGGCAAAACATATTCACATAGCAACCATCAACTGTCGATCACTAAGAACATCAGAAAAACTTAAAGAATTTGAACTGGCAGTAAAAGAAAGAAAATGGGATATTATTGGGATTAGTGAAATGAGACGATTTGGTGAGGGCATACAAGATCGAGGAAACTACATATTGCACTATATAGGTGAGACGCCTGGACTATATGGAGTTGGATTCATGGTCAGGAAAAATCTTGCAGACAATATAGAAGAGCTCAGAGGAATCTCAGAACGTATTGCAATCCTTAATATCAAACTATCTATAAAAGGAAAAAATGAAGAATTGTCGATTATTCAGGCATATTCTCCAACTGAATCGGACAAAAAGGAAGATGTAATAAAAAATAGAAAACTTCTATAATGATCTTCAAAATACTATGGAAAGCGCTCACAAAAATAAAATTGTCATGGGCGACTTCAATGGTCAGATAGGAACACAGAAAAATGGAGAAGAATACATCATAGGAAGATATGGATTTGGCTTCAGAAGTAAAAACGGCACAAGATTAGTAAACTTTGCAACTGAAAACAAATTAAGCNTCTTCAAAATACTATGGAAAGCGCTCACAAAAATAAAATTGTCATGGGCGACTTCAATGGTCAGATAGGAACACAGAAAAATGGAGAAGAATACATCATAGGAAGATATGGATTTGGCTTCAGAAGTAAAAACGGCACAAGATTAGTAAACTTTGCAACTGAAAACAAATTAAGCATTCTGAATAGCTTTTATAAAAAAAAACCGCAGAGAAAATGGACCTGGATCTCGCCTAGTGGGCTTTATAAGAACGAAATCGACTACATTTTATCTAACAATCAAAAACTTTTCCAAAACATAACTATAATAAGCAATCTGAATTTCAACACAGACCATAGAATGGTTCGGGTAACACTGACAGGAAGACGTCCCAAGAAACTAAGAAAATTTCACAATAAGTGTACCACTATTGAATATACAGGCAATACAGATTTACTTCTTGAAAACCTCCAAACATCACTAAAGAAAGACAGACATGGGAAAAAAGAACTTGCATCAACTGAAGAAAAATACAACGGACTAATCAACCAACTAAAAACTGTAACAAGAAAAACCAACACAAACAATAAGAAAGAAATATCACTCATAACTAAACATTTGCTGCAAGAACGTAAAGAACTTATACAACAGAAGAAAAGTAAAGAAATCCGCCAAAAAATTACAGAAATAAGCAAAAAGATAAGTGAACAACTTAGAAAAGAAAGGAAAACAAAAAGACTATCTACAATAGAAAAAATTATAGAAAGAACAGGAGGAATAAAAAAGGCAAGGAAGGAACTAAACCACAAGAAAGAGTGGATACCAAGGATGAAGAAGAAGGATGGTATAACGACAGGTTTCAGACTCGATATACTAAAGATTGCTACGGATTATTACCGCCATTTGTACACAAGCCAAAGATTTGAAGAAACTCAAAAAGAATACAACATACCAACAGATGCAGAGCAGACACCGAAAATACTAACTATTGAAACAATGCAAGCAATTAAAACACAAAAACTTGATAAAGCACCTGGAGCAGATCTCATCACAAACGAGCTTCTAAAAACAACATTACCAGTGATTGCTCCAAAGCTTACGGATATATTTAATGAAATACTTAACACGGAAAACATCCCCGATGATTGGACTAAATCAACAATTATATTGCTCCATAAAAAAGGCGACAAAGGAGACATAGGAAATTATAGGCCCATTAGCCTGATGTCGAATATTTACAAGGTTTTTTCAAAAATTATACTTTCTAGAATTACAAATACCCTTGAAGAAAATCAGCCCAAAGAACAAGCTGGATTCCGTAGACATTTTTCAACTATAGATCACATTCACGCTTTGAGACAGATACTACAAAAATTTAAAGAATATAACAAAACTTACTACCTGGGGTTCATTGACTTTAACAAAGCATTCGACACATTAGAACACAGTTTTATTTGGAACGCACTTGAAGCACAAGGCGTCGAAACAAAATACATTAGAATACTTAAAAATATTTACACAAAAAGCACTGCTCGAGTGAAGCTAGAATCGACAGGAGACGAATTCCCTATTAAAAGAGGTGTACGCCAAGGAGACCCTATATCACCAAAATTATTTTCAGCCGTCCTTGAAATGATATTTAGGAACCTAAAATGGACAAAGGGACTAAATATAAATGGTGAAAATCTAAGTCATCTTCGCTTTGCAGACGACATTATTTTGTTTTCGGATTGCCCAAAAACTCTGGAAAGCATGTTGCAACAGCTATCGAATGAAAGTATTAAAGCAGGCCTGTCAATGAACTTAACAAAAACTAAAATAATGTCAAATTCTACAAATATAGAAATAAAAATAAATGACGAGGTAATAGAATATGTACAAGAATATATATATCTTGGACAACTTATATCTCAAGAAGACTGCATGCAAAAGGAAATAGAAAGAAGAATTGCTAATACCTGGAAACGGTTCTGGTCGCTAAGCGAAGTAATGAAAAATAAAGACATGCCTATAAAACAAAAGAGAAAAGTATTTAATATGTGTATTCTTCCATGCTTACTGTACGGGTGTCAAACTTGGGCGTTGACAGAAGAACTATCAAACAAATTAAAAATTTGTCAAAACGGAATAGAGAGAAGTACAATAGGCGTAAAAAGAAAAGACCGAATAAAACTAAAAGACATAAAGAGCAAGACAAACTTTAAGAACGCATACACAACTTACAAACAGCTAAAATGGCGATGGTCTGGACATATGATCAGAGAGAAAAAGGAGAAATGGACCAGTTTAATAACTGAATGGTATCCACGAGATGGTAAAAGGAATAGAGGTAGACAGACTAAAAGATGGGAGGACGACATTATAAAAATAGCTGGTACTACATGGACGCGTACAGCAAAGGACAGGACACAGTGGAAATCTTTAGAGGAGGCCTTTGTCGAAGGACAAGCTGCGATACCACAACCACCGTTTGCCGATATTTAATTTAATTCCATAAGGAACTTAGTATTTAAGTTTTGGCATGTTTAAGTAATTTGATATAGTTTGTAAAAATAAGAACAGCAATAAAGGCTTATTATTATTATTATTATACAATCGAATGGTAAATTATAAACTTATAAACGAAACAGCGTAGAACAAAAGTTGTTACATTTCAATTGCAGACTGTCTATTAGTAATCTTTAGATTAATACGTGAAGCAAGACGTTGTTGTTTTTACGAAAATTGCGCGGACGGAGAAATATGAAATTTCCCACACTTATAGAGAATATAGAGAAGGAGTGCAGTGTGATAATAATTTTTATAAATTATGCATTATTAATACTTTAAATCAATAAAAAAACAAAACACACACTACCATGTATTTAACATACACACACATATATTATTATTGCTTCAAGTCTGTGGTGAAATTGAGAATAGGTTAATAGGAATTGTTTATCTTTATATTCATTTGTCTATAGTGTAGTCGAAATCTGAGATTATAGAAGTATAATAATCTTTGACAATAGATCCATAATAAGGTTCAAACTTATAATTTAAATTAATTATAGTCGAATAGTCGACTACTGCAGGACCACTAGTTAAATATAAATACCTTATATCCTATAAAAAATTCCAAAGTATTACATTTATCTTCAGAATGGACGACAGTGGACTGCGAACGATTTCCCTTTTCCATTTACCCTATAAATTCATTAGGTACACCGAAGATTGCTTTCGTGGAAAAAATGCTGCTGCGAGTTAGGAAAACGACCTAACTTAATAAAGATATTAGTGAACTTAGTTCGTTTCGGTTTTGAGTATTTTAATTCCCTTCATTTAGTTATTCATTTTTAGTGGACACTTTCTGATGTTTGAAATAATTCGCAGTTCATGTGGTCACGGAAGAGATTAACCCCTAAAATTATTTTCAAATATTACGATTGAGATTCAAGAAAATCCAAAAAGGTCTACAATTAAAATCGTGCTTATAAAACATATTTTTGGAACGCAGTTCTTTATGGGATGATGCGGAGGGGTACCCTAACCGGGAAAAAACATCCGTAACGTAAGATTTTTATTAGTAATGCACACAGTGTACGACTTAACTTTGTAATAAGGTATAAAAAATATTATTATTTTATACATTTTTTATAAATTATTTCAAAAATATATATATTTTTTATAATCATTGTGAATAAAATAAAGTTGATAGCTTTGTAAAGTAGTTTTTTTTTATCAATAAAAGAATCATAATAAAAAATGTATACGGCCTTCTTTTGTTTTTAATGTATGTTTAAGTCTTTTCGGTCTCTTAGAAATAGATTCCTTCTCAGTACCCACCCTCGGAGTCGTCTTTCCCAGAGTGTACTAGATGTTCCAGCGCCTTAGTAGGAAAATTGGGGTGAGACATCGACATAATTGCATGAGTGCGCTGCGTAGGTCACCGGTGACTTATACGGCAGTCCACGTGTTAAGGATAAGACGCCTAGTGTATTGGTATTAAAAATAAAAGTACAAGTGCTTATCTATACTAATATTATCTATATCTATACTTCTATACTAATATTATAAAGAGGACAGATTTGTTTGTTTGTTTGTTTCGAATAGGCTCCGAAACTACTGGACCGATTTGAAAAATTCTTTTTCCATTAGAAGCCGACATTGTCCCTGATGAACATAGGCTACTTTTTTTAAATTTTTTATTTATTTATTTTTTTTGGTTTCATGTGTGTTTTAATGTTTCCGAAGCGAAGCGAGGGCGGGTCGCTAGTGTTCCTTATAAACTCCGAAGCTACAGGACAGA